TCCCATGATTTATGACTTGTAAAGAGAGAATATACTAATTCATTTTAAAATTCAATTAAAAAGGAATCACTTCTATGAAAATCCTTGATTTACAATTTCGACTTGGTATGGTATTATTCATTCTTTATCTATACTATACACACACTCACATATATATAACAATGTAGTCCTTCCCTTAAAAGAAAAAGAAAAAGAAAAAAGAAACCCTAAAACATACCTCATCAATTCAAAAACCATAAACAACCCTAGCAATTATACTATTCAATAATTCCAATATCTTCTCCACCGCAATATGATATCAACAACTGTTTCAATCATTTCTAAACAACTATTCGTCAATTATTATTATTATGGATGTTAACTCCGTGGATGAGTATGATATTATAATATCTTTACAATTTTTTTTTTGCGGCATTTGTGAGTTTAGTTTAGATTCACATGTTCCTTCTTTGTTAGATATATAGGTCTTAATTACCCAAAAAAAAGATATTTAGGTCTTTTATCTTGAAAATTATCCAAGACGTTATGATCAAGAACTCAAAGTTTGGATTTTTTCAAATGAATTCATGCGTACCATGATCTACAATCAACCATCTAAATCTACGCCTCGTCTAAAATGAATTTATGAGGGTGAAAGAATTTAGACTTGTCTAAATCTACGCCTCTAATTCTCATTGTGAAAACAAATGCATAAGATGATAAACTATATGAACTAATCGATGAACTTAATGAGGATATTCTAGGCCACAAAGAAGAAGCAATAAAGATGATAAAGTTCGGAATATGGTGCCTACAAAGTCATGATAGAAGGCCTTGTATGTCAATGGTCATGAATGTTTTAGAGGGTTTAATTGATATAGATATACTAAGTAGCCATCACTTCTTAACTATGAGCCATATTGATAACCCCATACAAGTTGATCCAAATATTTCATTGGCATACACAAATTTCTCTTTAGAGGGACATATAACCAATTTGGGGAAAATAGAGAGCGAGCAAGTGAACGAGCAAGCGAGCAAGAGAGAAAGATGATTGGTGAAGCTTCTTGGGTGTAGGGGTTCCAAATGAGTAGTAAATAATGATAATACTTAGAGAGGCAAAACTATGTTGATGAGTTAATAAATTGAGGGGGCGGAGAGTGAGTAGCGGGTGAGGCTAGAGCAAATGGTTAAAGAAGAGAATGTGGCAATGAAGCATCTCCCAAAATCCCTCAAAGTTCTCCTCAAGAATTCTCTCTCTTGAGTTTTCTTCTTCTTGAGTTCTCAAACCTTAGGAAAGTGGGTCTATTTATAGGCTTTTCCTTGGTACTAAGAGTACCAAGTGGCCAAATAGAGTAAGGACACATGGAATATTTCATTTCCTAAACCACTAGGCTTTGGTAGACACGTGTTTCTCTACATGTACTATCTATTTGGCATGAACTTCAGGAACTGCCATTATACTATCTTTTGGCACAAAACCTTAGCAAATGCCACTGTTTGGTACAAACCTCAGCACGTGTCATTTTTGGTATGGACCGCAGAAGGTGCAACTACTTCGGTGGTACCTTTCATGGTGGTACTTGCTATGCCACCCGCCTTCTCAGTTTGGTTTCCCAATGCATGCATTTTCACGACTCATGACTTGCTAGTATCCATACCTGGGTCTACCTCAACGACTGCTCTACCCTTAGCTACCTAACCACAAATTCCCCAGCTTCCCAGGGCGAAGGCCATAGCTAGACCTGCTATTAGTGGTGCTATGCCTTTGTACCAAGCCCAAGGGGGCTTGCTTAGTCCTGCTAGTGCGACCGAGGTAGGTTCATGACCTGAGTAATGGAAAAGGAGTCTTTTGTTTTCAGGTTGCCTTGCTCCTATCTAGGGCTGTGCAAAATACCGCTCAACCCGCTAAAACCGCACCGATTCACATCAATCCGCACTGCTCTAACCGCTAATCACAGTTTAAACTTTAAAATTTATAATCCGCCAACCAAACCGCTCCACTTCACTATAGTTAATACATATATATATTTTTTAACTTCCAATGAAATATCAATGTAAAAATGTGTGTGAAAGAGATTTAAGATATGAAATTTTTTATAAATTAGTGGTTATATATATGAATTAATGATTATATATATGAAACATATTATGTAAAATTACTTGGTGTTATATATTTAAAAAATATTATACAAATTAGTGTTATATATTATGCAAATGCATGATAATTAGTTAAAATATTCTTCAATCCGCCAATCCGCCAAAAACTACCCAAACCGTAATTTGCCAATCCGTTAATTTGCTAACCCGCCATTCGGTTTGTAATTTTACTCACAAACCGCCCAAACCGTACCGCGCACACCCCTACTCCTATCTTCGCAGGGTCGCCGCGGTATATTGGTTTCTCGAAAGCCGGCTATAAGCTCCAATCAGTAAACTTTGGAGCTTGCTATCAGCGTTGAGCTAGTGAGTTTCGAGGTCTACTATCAGCGCCAAACATTACTCTCTGTTTGTAGAGGGGAGGCCTCCCTCAAAGGCTGCTAACACCTTGGGAAGTCTTGCTTCAGAACGTGGTTGCAAAGGTTGCAATCACCTCGGCTACTCTTTCCTTGGCAAGTGTACTTCATGTATTGTCTCAAAGGTAACGTCGCGATGACCTTCTATTGAGATGGCAGCGCTAAGGCTAAACCACAGCAGGTAGTACCTCAGCAAGTCCCCTTAGGTACTTTGTCGCAAAAGGTCTATTTGGATCCAATGAGTCAAACCAACTTCGGCCTTTTGGATGGCCCATTTTCCCTAGGATTTTTCCCCAAATCCTAATCATAATTACTCCTCTGATTAAGTCGACCTCAGAGGTTAGATCAAATACTTAGGATTTCTGCCCTCTACACTAGGTTATACATTCACATTCACATCTACATGTTTCAATGAGGTTGTTACAAACAAGCTTCCTAGGTTGTGCATCCAGGAGGGTGAATGAAGTTTAGGATTTTTGGAGTTGCTCTCACATTATATTTAGCGTTTGACAAACAAGTTTATGCTGGAGTTGAATGTCCATTTGACAAATGCAATTTTGTTGGCAGAGGTGAGTTTGATCCTTGCTGGTTATCACTGTATTTAAATGTTTTTAATAAGATTATTATCATTTTTTTTTGTTTTAAAAAAACCAAACAATTTACAGAAAATAAATAAGTTTTGGAATCATGATTTGAGATTTGAGTTTTGAGTTGTATTTTGAATTGAGATTTGAAATTAAAAATTTGTTTGATTATGAGTTTCGAAAAGAGTTTTGAGTTGTATTTTAAAAATTTTTGGGTTTATTTTTTTTAAAAAAATATTTAAAAATTTTCTTAATTTTATTTTTTAGGGTAATATATTTTTTATTGTAAATATTTATTAATTTTTTTTAATGTGTGTTGTATTTACTACATTTGTGCGTTGTATTTTTAAAAATATTTTAAATATTTGTTCAAAATATTTGGATATTTATTTATTTTTTTAAATATTTTAATTTTTACATATTTAAATTTTTTTTTTTAATCTTAAAAAATTTTGGATCAACCCATATATATCTAAATCATAACAAATTATTTAGCCAATGCTTAAAAAAATAATTTTTTTCAAAAAAAATAAAAAATAAAAAATAATTTTAAATAACAAAATTAAAAAAATGATTTTTTTTTTTTTTTTACAAAGAGTTTTGAGTTTTAAGTTTTGAAAATAGTTTTGAATTGAATGTTTAGTTATGAGTTTTGAAATTTTTTAATAGAAATCATGATTTCAAAATTAAACCAAACCATACTAAATTGTTGCACTTTACACCTCGCCAAAGTGCAACTAATTTATTTTTTGAATAAATTACAATTACATTCCCTAAGATTTGTTTAAAATATATATTGTTTTATCTAGTTTTAGAAATTACATCAAACCTTTTTAAATTTTTAATCGCATAATAAATTATTTCTTTTATTAATAATTATAAAGTCTATTAATAGTTTTTAATGATGGTAGAAGAAAACTTTTATTCATACCTAAAATTCATATAAAAACTTGACAAGAATGATATGATATTGTCATTATTATAAATAAATTCTTTTTCAACAGTTCTTGTTTCGAAGTAAAATGTTCACAATGAGTTACATCATTAGTTTGTATAACATTACTCTTTCTTAAATTCTATTAAATAAAAAATTATAGATAAATTACAAATACACCCCTTGAGGTTTCCTTAAAGTACAGGTTGCCCCTGTGGTTTGAAAAATTACAAATACCTCCTTGTTAACATTTTTTATTTAACAGAATTAATTAAAAAAATAAAATTCATAATTGCTCTTCTGTACAATAATAAAATTATATAAATTATTAATTGAAACGTATTTCTAATATCATTAAAAGCTATTAATTGACTTGATGATTTATTAATAAAAAGAGCAATTTATTATGAAATTAGAAACTTCCGGGGTGGAATATAATTTCCAAAATCACAGAGGACGATTTGCATTTTAATCAAACCTCTGGGGATGTATTTATAGTTTACCCAAAAATGTAATAACAAAGAAGTACTTGTATTTTTCAAAATAAAAAATCACCCAAATTTTAAATAAATTTCATATAGTATACTTGTAATTTTCCCTTATATTTACAGGAGTCAAAGTATAGCTTGGACTATAGAGTGCAAAGTGACAATTACCCTGAATTGTATCTCTTCCTCCCAAATTGTTTGCTCCTTTTCACTATTCCAAACATCCCAAAAACTTGTTTATATTTTTAAATTTTTTATTTTTTCATGATTTTAAAATTTTCATGTACTAGAACTAATTAAAATCTTCTAACTTGTAGGCAAAAAAATGATTTTTTTTTTAAAAAAAATAAGTTATTTATTACACAAATGTGGAAAATAGACAAATAAGTAAACCAACCAAACCTTAGGAGACCAGAATAGTTTGGTAGAAAACAAAACACAAACCTTTTGCTTTTAAAATCATTCTATTTATACAAGTATACTCACATACATAGCAATGTAAACAAAATCTACTATATTCTAGTTAAAAGCAAATACAAAAGTATACATAATACACCAGCTCAAATAAAATGAGAAAAGTGGAGGAACAAAAGGGAAAATTATAACAAATATTAACCATTAAAAAGAAGACTTCATGTATACTATTGGTGAGGAGTGAAAAGGCATACATTATATTGATCTATATATTAACCAGTTACCTCCATGAGACAAACTTTATCAGAAGGACAAACATTCAAAGAACTATAAATCGAACAGCAAAGCTCGTAAGAGTTCGGAGAGGAGGGGACAATGTCGATCCATTCTTTATCAACCTTCTCGACATGTGGGTATGGCTTAGGGATTGCATGAAACTCGATTTTATTTATCTGCTTGGTCAAATGCTTCATAAATTTCATGGAGAATACCATGTCAAAATTGTCCTCAAGATAGTTCATGATGTCGAGGATTTGGAATCCGATATTTGCTTCACATGTACTCACTAGCCCAAGTAAAGTATATCCACCAACATTTCTTAGATTGACGCTGCAAACCTGCAAAAAAACAGGCATACTAAGAAGACGATGTGAAGAATTTACAAAATACTAGAACATCAATACACAAACCAAACTCAGTGCTATGTATATATTCAATAGCAGTCGAAACACCACACTAGGTGAGTGGCATCAAAAGCAAAAAATTCCAAACTGAGGCTCAAAAAACAAGGTTTACATGAATGGATGCCTTGAGGATTTATATCTCACAATAAGTCCACAATTCTGGCGGATTCCTAGAATGGGGCTCTCACAGTACAGCCCATGGTAATGCAAAAAACTTATTTCCACATAAAAAATGCATGGGGCATCTTGACTACTTAGGCCTTGTTTGTCAACTACATATTTTAACCAAAAAGTCAAAAAGTCACTATAAGTTGTCACATCACTCTATTTTTTTGCACATATTTTCGTAAAAATCCAAAAAGTTACAAAAATAATCTGTTCCCAAATGAGACCTTACTATTCATCTCGTCACCTATTCAGGAAGTAAATAAGCATGTGAATGTAAATTGCTGCCTTGAGATTAGGAGAACTGTGCAGGAGTTAATAACTGAAATCGGGGATTGCAAAATACTTTGATTTTCCCCAACCCTTAGGGGTGATTGAATACAGTAGGGCCGGATTTGGGGAAAATTTTGAACAACCCAATGGGGGCAAGGGAGAGTGTATTCAATCCCATAATGTTACAATTCTACTTTTACCCATCCATATATACCTATATGGACAATATGTGTACAGTGTACTGTTGGTTGATATTGATTCATAAACACAAATCATAATCTTGGACCTTGGGGTTTTCATGCTAAGTTTCTAATTTTGTATTGCAGACCAGGTAGGGTCAGGGTTGGGGGTTGGGGGGGTGGGCTTTGAGATCCAGAGTAGGGGTGGGGTAGGGGGGCCCTCACCCATACCTTACCTGTTGCCATCCTTAACTGAAACCAAACTATTTATACACATTCAACCATGGCCCAGAAGATTCAAGAAAAATATGTCCAGTTGGGTCATTCCACTAGCACAACTTTGTCTCTTTCTCTCTCTCTCTCTCTCACAAGATGCAAGCTAATCAAGCGAGAACTATATAGATGGTCAATCTTCCTTCCAACTAGTTGTTTATCTTCTATCCATGCTTACATTTTTCAAGTTTTTTCTTCGTTTTCATTTTCCTTCAATTTTCCCTTTTTCTGTTTTTTTGGTGGGAATGGGGGTGTGAGGTCGAATGGTTAGATTTTCTTTCTGGTTATTTTAGCATCCTTAAATTACCTATAAAAGAAGAAGAAGAAGAAGAAGAAGAAGGATGCAATTATTGAAAGACCTATTTCTGTAAAGCTTGAGGTACATAATAGCCTATAAAACATTTTTGTCCCCTTTCTAATCTGCTTTGTAACAAAGGCCACACGACCCAAGGGTAACTTTATTGATCTGTAGACCACCAACTCATCCAAAAGCTTAATGTTGTGTTTGGATAAAAGATTTGGAATGGGAAAAGGAAATGGAGAAAAAATTTAGCCTATATTTGATTCAGTTTTCCCTCATATTTTTCTTTTCCCTTTTCAAATCTCTACCAAAATCCATGATCCAAACATATAGAGAGGGGCAACTTTATTATTTATATTCTATTCTCAACACAAACTTTATTATTTATATTGTATTCTCAACACGGCCTCCTCACGTGTGGACGGGCTCTTCTTCATAAGTGGGTCAAACCCATGCAAGTATGGTTAATTATCGGTAGGCACTGAGGTTTGAAAATGTGATCTATTGTCTGATCTAATACCAAGTTAAAATGTAAAGCATAAGAAACTGGGGTTAGAGTTAGAGAGGAAAGAGAGAAGAGAAGAGAAGAGAAGAGGAGAGAAAAAGAATATGATGAATAGGTTATGAGTAGTGCTACCTAGCCCAAAAATTAGACTCACTTTTCAAACTCAATAATTTGGTAGTCTATTAGAATATGGGGAAATAGCAAATTAGTGGAATAGTGGAAAAGTAATTGTATTATGAATGGAAGTTTTTACAGTGCAACTCTGACACACATGATGGATTTGCACCATGTACACAAAAAACTTGCACCACCATGAAAATAAAAATATTTTTTCACAGCACCACTGAAATGTAAATAAGTGGGTCAAACCCATGCAAGTATGGTTAATTATCGGTAGGCACTGAGGTTTGAAAATGTGATCTATTGTCTGATCTAATACCAAGTTAAAATGTAAAGCATAAGAAACTGGGGTTAGAGTTAGAGAGGAAAGAGAGAAGAGAAGAGAAGAGAAGAGGAGAGAAAAAGAATATGATGAATAGGTTATGAGTAGTGCTACCTAGCCCAAAAATTAGACTCACTTTTCAAACTCAATAATTTGGTGGTCTATTAGAATATGGGGAAATAGCAAATTAGTGGAATAGTGGAAAAGTAATTGTATTATGAATGGAAGTTTTTACGGTGCAACTCTGACACACATGATGGATTTGCACCATGTACACAAAACTTGCACCACCATGAAAATAAAAATATTTTTTCACAGCACCACTGAAATGTAATTTCTCCCTAGAATATCCAAGACAACTTTCTCTCATGTTTTCTTTAATCATCAATCAATCATCTCACTTACACATTATTGGATCAAGAAAGTGGTCTAAAAAGTGGGCTTCTATATCATTTTCCATAGGTTATTGGGTCATAATGAAAAACCCTCACCTAGCACATATTTATATAAAAACAATAATGTCAGTATGACAATAATACCCTCAATATAAAATAACATAAAAAAAATCCTGATAATTCTAACATAAACAAATTCAGAAGGTTTTAGATCTTTAATTTCCACTATACATTTTCCTAAATGCGGTTATTGAAAGGTGGCATCCATTCTAAATACTTGAATGGTTGTCTTATCCAGAAAATCTACCAGCCTAGTCAAAGGTTTCCGAAGCTAACTTGCATCGTCTTAAAGTTCCTTGTAGGAGGTTTGTTTTCTCAATGGACTCATGTTAATTGGCAAGACTACAGTATCTTTAGCTGGATTTTCCTGATTGTCTTTATTGGGGTCTTTATTGGGGGAATGTGACCTAAGCCATCCCGGTGTCCCCTCGGGGACAAACAAACCCCACCCCCTGTTTTCCACTTTCTGTCAATTAGCATGAGAAGACAAAGCAAAAAATTCAGTAGTAAAGCATCTAACCTCAATATACTCCACGCCCATTTCACTGAGATTCTGTAGAATGTTGTCTGATGAAAGTAAGCTAATAATTCCTCCAGAACCAACTGGTGTTTGAAGTATTTCCCACGGAGACTTCATCAAAATCTTATGGCTGTTTTGTTCTTCTAGTGAATTGCTAACAACAGGCAGCTTCTCTTCTTCCAAGAACCAGACCTAAAAAGTAGGTCAAAAGGTTATAAACTTAAGAATACAAAGTAACAAAAAAATATGCATACATTTAATAGTAATTTATCTTCAGCACACTTATCTTCGAGATATATCATTTGGGAGTTCATTTTGAACAGAGTTATTCTTTCACATAACTAACGTGTAGAAATATATAAATAAAGCACTGCAAAAGGGGACTGGCAATAAATCTTTCTATTGAAGGATAAAAAGTCTTCATTCATGGAAAATTTACTGTTCATGCAAACAACTTCAATTCTGACTGAATTTTTAACATGTTGAAAACATTGAAATGCCTCAAAATCTTTTTTCACTTTATAATAATCTTACAGTATCATGGTCTTTACATAAAAACTAGTTCAACTCTTTTCATAACTGAACATGAGAATTTTCATCGAAAGAAGAAATTAAGATTTTAAACAAGCAACCATAGTCCAGTTGACTAAAGAATCTCTAGATCTTAAAAAAAATAATATTGTGCTCTGTATGTAGGTTCTGCAATTATAAACAATCTGGGAAGAAGAAAAAAAAAATAAAAGAATAAACAATGGACCATGGAAGAATAGTATTGCCATGGCTTGAATATATCTCCCAAAGAAAATAGGTCACATAACTGGAAATTTATTGTATTGCCCTAAATAAGAATAGTATTGAATGGCTTTAAATAGGACTGCATCAAACCAACTGAAAAGTTACTCGAACGCGGATCATAGCTTAAATCAATTATTATTTAAGCCACTGAACCTTGCAGCACAAGTGATACCAAGGTGCCTAACCCCAACAGGTTGGTCTGTGAGTGGTTTGACCCATCTATACCTTCCCTAATAAATGAAATGTAAATGTAAATTCTTACATGTATCAGAGAGAATAGATCCAACTACCGAACTTACAATACGTATAATTGTCAACACTGACATCACTTTGGTAGTGCAATAGCCAAATCCTTCTTGCAAAAGAATATCAAACATAACTAATAACTGAAAATCAGTATTGGTTTATCATTTCAGAAAGTGGATATGCTGACCTTCTTGGAGTCAAATGCAAAGTGGTTATGACTTGCAAATATGTTTCGGAGAAAGTGGATCTCATGAGCAGGGCAAACCAAAATCAGAGGTATAGAAGCACGGTCTTCTATCTGCAACAGGTTAGAAAATTAGTTAGACCATATCGTAAATATATGTGGTCCAGAAAGGGCCAAGGAAAGATATGTCCACAATATTTTGCATATTAAAAGGATGAAATATGCTTCTCAGTGGTGGAAATTAATAAAGACAAGTACTTTTCTATATTTGGTTTTGCAGTGTAGTTTTCCCTATAGCAACCACCACCTCAAATCCTTGTTTTTCTTGGTCCCTCTCTTTCGAACCAAGCGGTTAGTCTTCTTCACAAGAAACATATGCAGGAAAAGGGACAATACTACAAATATAAAAATAAAAAAGGAAAAATAAATTCAACTAATACACCTAATTTTTGGTGACTTGAACTACAAACTTTTCATTTGCAGAGTAACTTACAAATCAAGCATAACAATCTAACAAATATACAGTCCCTATTTAGCAGCATGGAAACTTGAAGTGCCAGACAGAAATGATGAGTCATGTAAACTTTAAACTTCCAAGATGCTGCAGTTGACTATGTATCAATGAACAGGAACATGTCAAAGTATTACAAAACAATTTAAAACTACAAAATAATTGACTGAGAAATAGAAATTGAAACCATCTCACATGATACCTAACACTGAAGTTTCAACAACCAATAGCGCATGCCTGAAGATTCTGATTCATGAGCAAAACAAACAAAAGCAATTTTATCCATTCAAATTCACATTTGAAATCCAACCCATCAGGACAAAAAAAAAATCTGTCTTGAAAATGTTTATTGAACTTCCAAATTCACTCTTCAAATCCAATCCATCAGGACAAACCCAAAAAAATAAATAAATAAAATGAAAAAATAAATCTATCTTGAAAATGTATATTGAACTTCCAGGAATTTTTCTCCATATTCCTTAGTAACTATAGGTTTCGTTTTCACTACATTCACGTTTATTTCCTGAATTAAAAGTGTTTCCACATACCAATGATTGCCTAAACAAAAAACTTTAACATATTAAGGATGCTAACTGCAGTAGCTAGGAGGATTCAAATTGTTTACATTATATTTGAAACTAAAGAGAACTGAAAAAAGAAACATTAACGTTTTGATACATATAGTAGTAGTACAGTAATCCTTGTTAAGAGAACTGAAAAAAGAAACATTAACGTTTTGATACATATAGTAGTAGTACAGTAATCCTTGTTCAAATAAAAATAAAAACAGACCAACATGTAAACTTATCAAAAATTGGTTCTTAACAATGCAAAAGTTATACTCAAATCAGCGAAAGCCTTAATACCAAAAAAAAAAAAAAAAAAATTATATTTCCATTGTTTTTATTGTTGAGCTTGTATAAATAAATTTTGAAAGAGGTGTTACCTTTACAAACCTCAGATTGTCATGAAAAAATGCCTCTACTAGCAGGCAGGAAGAGTCTTCAGCTTTGTCGACAAGATCAGTTGCAAAGCCACTTTCCTGCCTTTGGAAGTCATTCATGTATAAGACAATGGCAACCTTGCCTTCAGACGTGAGCAGGTGACCCTTTTCTTGCAACTTTGAACTTGCATTTGACTTCTCTCCACATCCAGAATTAGAAAGGCATTCATCTGATATTTTCAAAGCACTTCTCACATGTTTGGCTAGATTACCTTCGATAAACTCATCTAAAGTCCATCTGGGTCAAAAGATCATATACAAATAAAGACAACGATTTCATCTGGAATCATATTGAATAAAAAACAAATATATATATATATATATATTAACAAAAACAAATAACTAATAACTTGATCCTACACAATATGCACAGGGCCTCAAGGTATTAATATCTAATAGTGACAACCAATGACTGCCAATTAATTATATGACTGTCTTGCCTCCCAAGTTCCCATCCATACAATACAGATCAATAGTTCTTTACATAAGCACTCCATGTTGGCAAAATTGAAGATATTAAAAAACATTTGAAATTTTGGAGTTATCCACATGTTTCCTCATAGAAGGGCTAAAGCCAAAACCCACTAATGATATTCCCTTGTAAAACTAACTCCTCTGTTTCTATATGAGTTTCTGTATTATGAGGTTGTTCAAATGCACAGCTCTATCAAGTGATCAACCTGGTCAATTTTTTCGTCCAGGCACTTGCCATTGACCATTACTTCATTCTTAACAACATTGGTAGCATATTTTTGCCATATTTTCAAAAACCAACTTGAATCCATCCATTCAGCTTCAAATCAGTCTCACATTTTAATCTCCTTAGCTTGAAACCTCAAAATATTGAATTCCTAAAATTTTAAATAATCATATCATAGATAGCTATACAATTGATATCGCAATAGCTACTTAGACTACTTAGCCATTAAATTCAGGCAAGGTTCTAGCCTCTAGGTCCCACAATAATGGAAGGTAACTGTATACAAATCGGCACTACCTGTCATTTTTAGGCATATTAAAAATAATTACCTTCCCATTTAACATTTCCCTAGTATTTTCACGATAAATTGGCGAACTCAGCAATACTACTGATTTGTTCCCCTAGCCAGCTTCAAAAAGTTGATGCCAATATCACATTGTTTAATAAGGGCCTGTTTAATTGGCCAGATTAAAGCGTAGGATTATGATTATAAATCCATGGGACCCCCATTTCAACGTTGGTTGTTTTTTACTATTCAGAGCAGATCTGTTAGGCAACTAATCTCACAAGAACGTGGGCTATTCAAAACTGAAGGGGATGTTGTATTCACAATCCAGGCACTGAAAGAGAAAACAAAATGACATTTTTATCCCTGAAGAATATATTCCACAACTACAATATCAAATAAAACCTAGGGTTATTTTCAATGCAGCTGCTTTTTTAGACAGAGAGAGGAGACAAGCAATGAACTCTTCACCTCTGTATGTTGATTCCATCCTCGTTGGAAATTTACCATTAACACTAAAAAGCTCAAAAATGAGACTTGGGTCGCTTCCTGGTGGTTGATTTGGGCTGAAAGGTATCACATTGAAGCCATGAAATTTGCATTTATAATCCTTGAGATAAGGTTACTTGTGCAGGCTTGATGTACAGTTCTCTTAGAATGGTTCAAAACGGTTGGAACTGAAGAGAAAGAGATCACATTACTTCTTGACACAAGCAGCAAGACCTCCTCATGAGCAGTGGACGCATGACAACCACCACAACACTGTTGATTCACCACACGTGAGGCCAAACTCACTGCATGAGAGGCCAATCCTTAGCACGTGCAGCCATATCCACCGCTCGAGCAGCCAGAGCTCAAAAGCTTACTGTCAAAGTTTTGCTCATGCAGAGCATTTTGGCTGCACGGGTGGCCACACCTTGAAGTGCATGCGCAGAAATGAGAATTGAGATGAAGTGAACTCAAGTATAAAAAAGAAAAGAAAGGAAATGATTCTGATTCTTTTGGTTTGAAGAGTGAGGCAACTAAGGCTAGAGGTGAAGAGAACTCTGCACAACCATGGGTTCACCATCTCCTCCATTTCCTTGTCACTTCTACCTCTCTCCATGAGTGGCTAAGCACCATATGTGAGTTTTGATGAAACCCTAACCAAGTAACCGGTTTTTTATCTTGAGAGCTTTGTATTGTATCATTTGATCGGAACAATTGTAAAACTTTTATGTTTTTGAATAAAAATGTTTTTATCTTTTCTTTTCATTCAATTTTTGGGATTGCGAATGAATGTTTTACTTTAGTTTTCATTGTTGTTGTGTTGGAAATTTGAGACAGGCTATGCTCTCAGTTGACGGGGTTGTGCCACAAAACCCAAGTTTAGAGTGGATAATCTGTGCCGATTGAGATAGGTTGTACTCTTGATTCAAACACAATGTTACTCGCTGCTTCAATTTCAAACTTGTAGTTGAGAAATTGACTTATTCCAATCAATCATTTGTGTAATCTAAGATAAGAATTCTGGGTACGGAACTACCAGTGGATTCGGATCCCTAAGTTACCATTTCTTATTCTTGAACTTGAATTTTCTTGCTTATTTTATTAGGGTTTTGTATCTAGTTTATTCTCACAAAACAATCAATCTCAACAAACCAATTTGGAAATTAATAAGTGGAATAGCCAGAATTACACAATTGTCCCTGTGGATACTATGAAGTGAAGTCCCACATCGACCGAGTACTAAAGTAATGTTAAACATATAAACGTGAGGGAACCTTACCTTAATGCAACTGGATAATCAATCATATGGTAATTTCATGGTAACCACTAATCTTGCCAATCAAACTGGGCCTAAAAGTATGAATAATCCTATATGTAGAGACCATAAAAGAACATTATAGTCTCTGTTATTCTGAACTACTACCAGTGTGGGACAATCAAGACAAACCCCACCCACCTAGGTAAAGACAGGTTTTGTCACAGAGAGAGGTAAGCAAAAATGGGTGCGCAGGTAGTGGGGGAATGTTATTCGTGTTGTACCCAAGAGGAGGCCTAACTTTGACAGATGCCTACAACAAGCGATGGCACACTCTTCTCCGTAGGTACTTGAGGGTTGTCGTCTGAGATGTGGTGGTTGCAGTCATTGTCCGCCACTACCTTGAAGCCTCCCTGCCACAAGATGGAGAATCTCTGTCAACAGTACTGCATCAAGAAGCAACAATCCATCTCCTTTCACTTCTCATCCTCGTTCTTATTCAACAACATGGATTCCATGAAAAATCAGTCATCCTTGGTTCTCGGATATAATCAACCACCAGGAAGAGATTCAAATCTCACTCATTCTAGAGCTTTCTGGTGTCAACAGTAAAATTTCTGAGGTGAATAGTTTACTGCTTGCTTTCTCTCCTTTTTGTCTCTACAAGAGTGGTTAAATAGAACATGACCTAGGTTTTCTTTGATACCGTAGTTGAATATGTACTCAAGTGGTAAAAATGTCATTTTGCCTTCTCTCAGTTCCCAGACTGTGAATACCACATCCCCTTCAATATTGAATATCACACGTTTTGATGGGATTAGATGCCCAACGAATATATAATATGGATAATAAAAAAATACAATCAAATGCTCACGGGATTTATTATCCCAATCCTATGTTTTAATCAGGCCAATCAAACAAACCCTCACTGTTAATATTGCCAATTAAACAAGGCCTAAGTGTTGGACATGTGTCTGTACCAAATTGTGCACCAACCAAGTTTCAATACCAAAATCTTATTGCTAGTTTAGTGTTGACAAGTGGTGCATAGAAATGACTGTTAGCATCATAAACTTGCCAATGGAAAAATTGGAGCTCGTAGTAGAGAACACCCTTAGCAGTCATTTATGCCAACAAAGACCAAAAGCAGAGATTATGAATCTAATAGCCAGCAGTTCATAATCTGAAGCATCTTCAAAAAGGGAGACATATCGGTATCGGATACTTATCGGATACCGATACTCCTTGGATATTCGCGGATACGTATCAGATACTTCTTAAAAGTATCGGATACTTAATTATTTTTTTATTAATTTCAGAGTATCGGATACTTAATTTTGAAGTATCAGATACTCAAAATCATATATTACTTCTAATACTTTGTTTAGTTTTTTGATAAGAGGAATATAGTGAGAGTTGAAGTAATAGAATTTGTCAAATTGATGTATCCTTGTTGTCTCTCTCTCTCACGTTTTTTTCTCTGTGCTCTCCGTATTTTTTTAGTGTTGGCATGTAAGGATGATATTTAATTTGCATTTGTTTTTGTTTTTGCTTTTGCTTTTGCTTTTAGTTTTGGATAGTTTATGAATGTTTGAAGACTGTTAGCTTAATAGGATCTCTCTCTTTATTTATTAATTTGCTTTAGATTTTATTAAAAAATTAATTTTTTTTACAAACGTATCCCCACCGTACCCGTATCCTACTTTTTCAGATTTTGACATATTGCCGTATCCATATCCCCGTATCCCGTATCCGTGCTTCCTAGCCAAAATTATGGCATCTGATTTCATATGCTTCTATGAATTATCTCTCAGATCCTAAAGCAAAGAACTTAGGAGTTTGGGGTTAAGAGTATCAGCTAGAAATGTCAATAACATAAATAAAAATCTTGGAAATCCAACACAGCATCTTCTTATACCTCATCTTCAAACCTGCTGGCCTGGTCCTCTATTATCTCTGTCACTTTATAGCAACAAAGAACAATGGCCACTAACATAACAAGATCACTAGGTTGGCAGCCTGAAATGCACTTGGGAGGGGCACACCCTAAAGCCTCTCTTAGTGGGAGAGGGTGCATGAGGATTGTCCTAGCTAGCAGGGGCAAGAATCTTGATCTTTTTTATTTTTTGTTTTGATAAGTAATTGCACTATATTAAAAGTAAAGGCTATATATAATAAATTCAATTTGCCAATATCTACAATTTTAATTTTTGAAAATAAAAGGAAAAGGAAATATAAAAAAGAGACAAAAGAAGGAAATCAAATCACAATTTCAGATGCATCTTGAAATCTTACAAACCTAATGACACTTCAGCTAAAGAATATGCACTATATTGTGTGTCGTCTTCATACAATTCGAAATCTTTTTACAAGAAAGCTATCAATTTATCAAAATCAGCTGCATTCAATCAATATGTCATCTGCACAATATATATTTGTTTCCCAGCCATCAAGAAGTTTTTCATTCACTCACGTAAGCTAATAATAGGATTGCTTTCCATGTGCAGGAATAGACACTAATAGATCCAAAGCCAGTGTCAAGCATGAACAATGAGTATCGTGGCACAGTTAATCTCTAATCTTGACGTGAATCAAATGGTCAACATACAGTAAAATGGATTCAAATGATGAATATCACCTCTTAGATGGTATCTCAATATTTTGCAATGCCTGTTGAAGCAATTTGGAATTTACACCAACAATCTGATCAGCAAGTAAGCTCCTTTGGGCTTTTTCTCCGTATCTAAACCCATGAAAAACATGCTTTTGCTCCAATTCACACAATTTCTTTTTTGCTGCTATAAGGCGTTGTTGAAACTTTTTCCTTTCTTTCCATTCCTGACAAGCATCAATAGGTCATTTCAGGACTAAATCCACAACATAACTATGGCAACCATAAATTTGATTGAAATTGCTCTTACATACTGATAGCAAAATATTTAGAATAAAAATATATCTCACAGATCTAAGTAAATAGAGGTTTTGAAACAATAAATATATATTGTGCAGATGACAAACTGATTGACTGCAGCTGATTTTGATAAATTGATAGCTTTCTTGTAAAAAGATTTCAAATTGCATGAAGATGACACACAATATAGCGCACATTCTTTAGCAGAAAGTGTCATTAGGTTTGCAAGATTTCAAGATGCATCTGAAATTGTGATTTGATTTCCTTCTTTTGTCTCTTTTTTATATTTCCTTTTCCTTTTATTTTCTAAAATTAAAATTGTAGATATTGGCAAATTGAATTTATTATTTATAGTCTTCACTTTTAATATAGTGCACAGTATATATTTGTTTCCCAGCCATCAAGAAGTTTTTCATATATTTTGCAATATATTGCGCAGATGACATATTTTGCTATCTAAAATAAATAGAGGTTCTAACATAATAATATATTTCATTTTGAAGTGCAAGTCAGAGAGAAGTTCGATAAAAAAAATAATAATAAAAACAAACAGTATAACAAAATAAAAAAGCTCAACGTCAACTAATAAAACATAATTGGAATTCCCCCAAAATCCAAAGCAGCAGCCTACAATAAGAGACCTATAAAAATAATCACAGGAAAGGCATATCCATCAGTAATATACAACCAGGGTTGGTCCTACGTATTGGGCCTATTGGCTATAAGGGGAGCCACAGGCCTACAGCGTCTATTGTCCTCTATTTCATGACCGTTCAAACTTATTTAATGGAATGACCCCCCAACTGTTTCACATGTTATATACTGCCAATTTCATGTGGTTTTGATTCTAGATATAAATTTTTCCTTTGGAGTACAAAAATGCTAGGGCAGGCTTCAACTTATTGAAATTGTGTCAACCAATAAAATGACTGAAAAGGACAGTCTAATCAATTTTACCCTAACATCCTAATTTATATAGCTTGAAAAACTATATGAAATAAGTGAAGAAGTACTAAGAAATGATTGCAACAAAAGATTTTATTATTGTAGAATTTGTTATGCATATTGCTTATGTAGAAAACTATCTTCTAATGGTAGTGTACTACTAGCGAACTCTTTTTCTTTTTTTCCCCCCTTTTATGGGGCACTTTATCCTGCCCCTAAACAAAATTTCTACATCCACCTCTGTACACAAATATGATGCAGAGCCCTAAAACTTAAACCAGAAAAACTCCTATCACAATAAATAAATAAACAAATAATGCCCTTATTCCATTCCGGATTATATGTTTTTCTTATACAACTAAAAGTCGGACTGAAGTCGTATTCAAAATCTATTTACCAACAATAGTGTTACATATTTATAAACCAAAGTTGTATGTGTACCTATATCTATATCAACACATAAAACATAAGTGTGGTTAAATCCAAAAAGTGAATCATCAGCATTAGCTCAGTAACTGAAATGCATATATATATATATAGTAAATATTTTGCAATTACCAACATGAGGAAGGCTTTATTATGAGAATATATATCTACAAATAACTAATGACAAAAAGCAAAATACAGAAGAATAAGGGGTTTCCAACCACCAAAAGGAAACCAAAAACCAAAACAACTCAAACTGATCAAAAAGGAAAAACAGTCCCAACAAAACAACTGAATGGACTTTAATCTGTAACCATCCCGATAGAAATCAAACTACATGGCACATAGAACTTCTTCTTTTTTTTTGTCTTAGTTACATAGCACATAGAATTTACCAGCACATTAAATGAGTAAATTGATAGAATGAATCAATGAAGAGTTAAAGAGCTGGAGTAACGTGAATCAGTTGTGCTTTGTTTATAATGTTATATTCCAAATTCCAAGATATGGTTAATTAATTTTTTTTTAAAAAAATTCTACAACCTTATGGAAACCTAGAAAGCAAAGAACATCTACTCAATTATTTGCTAATATAGAACTAAAGGATGCTTGTATTCAATCTTCAGAAAATCGTGATGTGTGCCATTAACTTCAAAGTAATAAAACAGTAGAACAGCATAAAAGAATATGCCTCACAAGCTGACGCCTTTCTTTCTTGGACCTTTCGTCAGAGCGTATATTTAACTCAAGGAGCCCCTTTGGAGGTGTAATGAGCATTTCTCTTTTATTCATGTCAACATTTGGAACAATTGCTTCAACAAATGGGATCCACACAAAGGGACCAGAAGCACCTGCTTCTGACTTTGGTCTTCCAGCTGTGGACGAATTGAGCATGACATAGAGAAGATCACTTGCTCCACTATTGAAAACATTAACCACAGTACCCACTGGCTCACCAGATTCCTGAAAGGAAAAAAGAATAATCAATAACAGGGCAAATGAAGCTTGCATGCCCTATCAAATAAAATGAGTTAGACGTGTCAAACTCAACCCAAACCCATGAACCCGCCCAATTACACCCATTTAAAATCCATTTAAACCCGCCCGAATTCATAAATATGTTTAAATGGATTGCATTGTGAAAGCCCAATTAAAATCAAGTTTAAATGGGTTGGACATGGGTACCTATTTAAACCAGCTTAAATGGGTGCCACAACCTCCATCACACATCCATCATTACTACCACTACAACCACCATCCCACCACTACAGCCGCCACCTCTACCACCACCTTCGTCCACACCACCACCACCACCATCGCCGCCACCGCCGCCGCCGCCACCGCTGCCGCCGCCGCCGCCGCCCCCCCTCCCCCCACCCTCCTACCTCTACCAGCAAACTTATGGTGAAGTTTATGTTACTCAAAAAATTTTGGAGAATTTCTGTGGTGCTCAGGTACATGCAAGTTGTTGAACATTTTTGGTTCATGGTTTCAATGAACCAAAGGATAATGAAACATATATCGTATCTGAATGCTTCTAATGCTATTAAAAATCTTGTATTATTTTTTAAAAGGTTAAGTTGCTAATCTAATTATTCTTGTAATCTTTGTTGCATCAAAGCCTAATATAGTCATCAATTTTTGTTTCTATTTATTTATTTGTTGTTTTTCTCAAACTTTATTTATTTTTATTTTTACTTTTTTTGAATTTCTTGTCTTCTCTAACAGAATATATTATTTATGGATCTCAACAAAATCAAATGACACTGCCAAACTTTTTCATTTCTTCTGGTAGCCTTTCATTTTTCTGTTTTTTACATGTCTGACAGATTCATTTCCTTATCTTTTGCAGTTCCAAGACCTTCTCCTCCTGCACCACTGCCACCACCACCACCCCACAACCACTACCATTAGAAAAGAACAATAAAGTAAACGGGTTGGTTGGATTGATTTGTACAACCCGTATCCAATTCAACCCAACCTAGTTAAACGTTTTTTTTAAATGAGTAGGTTTGGGTTAAACTAATTTATTGAACAACCCGTTTTGGCCCACCCATTTGCCACCTCCTGAGTAGCACAGACACTTCTAAAAAGGTAATGTGTCATATCCGACATCATGTTCAACATCAACACGACACGACACTCATCGGGTACTTCCTAACACTTAGTCAGACATGAAACACAATATAAGTTTGAGTAAAATAACTTAGAATTCAATGATAAAAGAAAAACAATATAAATTTGTACCTATTCTCCTCCTTTAGACTTTAAACATTATTATCTTTAATTTAAATATTCATATATATGACACATAATAATTATTTATCCTTATATGTGACATATAATTAATATATAAGATAATATATAGGGTATGGCATTAATCAGTAGGGTTATTGGTGCTATGATCCTACCACCAAAATGCTATATGTGTCTAGGCATGTCACATTTTTAGAAAAACTACCCTACTACACTATACCTTCCACCCCTGTCCTTATTACCAATGATGAATTGGTTCACATTGACCCATTTTCTCCTGATGTTTCTCCCAATGAGTTTGTTTCTGATCTTGAGGTCTCTACCTTGCCTCTTCCTAGCACTTCTGATATCTCACCAGCGACTACCTCCCTACTTCTCTGCTTGTTTATCAGCGCCGCAAAGCACTTCCGAGCTCGCCTATCTCTAGCTCTACTGTCTCTCCAGCTATTTATCTAGATCCCGCTCCTCCTGTACATCACTTTCCAAAGCGAGACCGTCATCTTCCGAACTGGTATGGTTTTGGTAATACATGTTTTTCTCTTTCCTATCAGTCTTTTCTTTCTTGTCTTCATACCTATTTTGAGCACCGGTCCTACAAGGAAGCTTGTCATGATCCCAATTGGATTGCTGCCATGAATGACGAGTTAACTGCTTTGGCTAATGCTCAGACTTGGGATTTGGTTCCATTACCTGCTGGCAAGAATGTTGTAGGCTGTATATGGGTCTATAAGGTCAAAACCCTTTTTGATGGTTCTTTGGAACGGTACAAAGGTCGTTTGGTTGCCCAGGGCTTTTCTCAGGAGTATGGAATTGATTACGATGAGACTTTTGCCCCTGTTGCCAAGATGACTATTGTTCGCACTCTTATCTCTGTTGCTGCTGCCCATCACTAGCCTTTGTTTCAACTCAATGTCAAAAATGCTTTTCTGAATGGGTATCTTGCTGAAGAAGTGTACATGCGCCCTCCACCGGGTCTCTCTCACCCTCCTGGTGTTGCTTGTTGTATTCGCCGTGCTCTCTATGGTCTCAAGCAGTCTCCTTGTGCTTGGTATGAGCGATTTCACTTTGTTGCACTTCAGCTTGGTTTTCGCCCTAGTTATTATGATTGTGCTCTCTTTGTTCGGCGAATTCTGTTGGCCTTGTTCTCCTTCTCTTATATGTGGATGATATGATCATCACTGGCTCTGATTATAGTACTATTGAGGAAGTCAAGCATCAGCAGTTTCAGGAGTTTGAGATGAAGAATTTAGGGTCTCTTCGGTATTTTCTTGGTATTGAAGTTGCTACTTTTCCTACTGAGTATCTTCTCTCTCAGACTAAATATGCCCGTGATATTCTTTCTCATGCCAATCTCACTGATGACAAAATTGTCGACACTCCTCTTGAATTGCATGCTAAGTTTTCTGCTTCTGATGGCGTTCCTCTTGAGGATCCCACTTTGTATCGTGAGTTGGTTGGATGCCTTGTTTATCTCACCGTTACTTGTCCGAATCTCTCAGATGTTGTGCACATTCTCAGCCAATTTGTTTCTGCTCCTCGCTCCACACACTGGGCTGCCTTTCTCCGTACTCTGCACTACCTTCGTGGCACTTTGTTGCATTGTCTGCTATTATTTGCCTCTTCGGACTTGACTCTTCGTGCCTATGCCGACGCTGATTGGGCCGGTGACATCTCTGATTGCAAATCCACTTCTGGTCTTTGTGTTTTCCTCAGCGATTCTCTCATCTCTTGGAAGAGTAAGAAACAGTCTATTGTTGCTCGTTCCACAGCTGAGGCTGAGTATCATGCCATGACTCATGCTACTTCCGAGATTGTTTGGCTTCGGTGGCTTCTTTCTGATATGGGTGTCCCTCTTTCCGATCCGACTCCGTTGTATTGTGATAATCAGAGTGCTGTCCAGATTGCTCATAATTACGTCTTCCATGAGCGGACCAAGCATGTTGAAATAGATTATCACTTTGTCAGACAACATCTTCAGGCTGACACTATTACTCTCATTTTGTTCCCTCCTCTCTTCAGTTAGCCCATTTTTTTACGAAGACTCGTGCTGTTGCTGTGCTTGGTATGAGCGATTTCACTTTGTTGCACTTCAGCTTGGTTTTCGCCCTAGTTATTATGATTGGGCTCTCTTTGTTCGGCGAATTTCTGTTGGCCTTGTTCTCTTTCTCTTATATGTGGATGATATGATCATCACTGACTCTGATTATAGTACTATTGAGGAAGTCAAGCATCAACAGTTTCAGGAGTTTGAGATGAAGGATTTAGGGTCTCTTCGGTATTTTCTTGGTATTGAGGTTGCTACTTTTCCTACTGAGTATCTTCTCTCTCAGACTAAATATGCCCGTGACATTCTTTCTCGTGCCAATCTCACTGATGACAAAATTGTCGACACTCCTCTTGAATTGCATGCTAAGTTTTCTGCTTCTGATGGCGTTCCTCTTGAGGATCCCACTTTGTATCGCGAGTTGGTTGGATGCCTTGTTTATCTCACCGTTACTTGTCCAGATCTCTCAAATGTTGTGCACATTCTCAACCAATTTGTTTCTGCTCCTCGTTCCATACACTGGGCTGCCTTACTCCGTACTCTGCGCTACCTTCGTGGCACTTTGTTGCATTGTCTGCTATTATTTGCCTCTTCGGACTTGACTCTTCGTGCCTATGCCGACGCTGATTGGGCCGGTGACATCTCTGATTGCAAATCCACTTCTGGTCTTTGTGTTTTCCTCAGCGATTCTCTCATCTCTTGGAAGAGTAAGAAACAGTCTATTGCTGCTCGTTCTATCGCTGAGGCTGAGTATCATGCCATGACTCATGCTACTTCCGAGATTGTTTGGCTTCGGTGGCTTCTTTTTGATATGGGTGTCTCTCTTTCCGATCCGACTCCGTTGTATTGTGATAATCAGAGTACTGTCCAGATTGCTCATAATTACGTCTTCCATGAGCGGACCAAGCATGTTGAAATAGATTATCACTTTGTCAGACAACATCTTCAGGCTGGCACTATTACTCTCCTTTTGTTCCCTCCTCTCTTCAGTTGGCCCATTTTTTTACGAAGACTCACACTGTTGCTCGTTTTCGTTTTCTTCTTGGCAAACTTTTGATACTTTCTGTGCTCGCATCCTCAGTTTGAGGAGGGGTGTGAATTATTGTAATTTATCATAAAGGGTAGTTTAGGTTTTGCATGTCGGCGTGTCTATGCTTCTTGGGCCACCTCTATCAAAAACTAGAAGAGGATATAATGAAGATGCAACAGAGTCATCACTAATTATAAGTGCATTAAAGTTTGTTAAGATGTTAATGATAGTTAAAGATATATGCTAACTACTAAATACAACAATAAGAAAATCATCCTTCTGCTGCCACAATGTTAAAATTGGTTAATTTGAACTACTAATAACGTGCATGTCTAGATTATGTATTGAAGCCTTAGGCCGCATTCCCTCAATAAATAGACTCAAGTTCGAATTTCCTTAACTTTACATATCAAAATAAATTTTTAAAAAAAAACAAAAAACAAATTGGCCCTGATATGTAAAACCGAAATATAAGCATATATCTTGGAAAGAAAACGAGAATTCATTTGCAAGAATAAAAATAAACAATGTCATGGTAGTGCAAACCTTAAGGCTAACTCTCATGCCAACAAGATCGCGAGAGTAATACTCGCCTTCCTCCAATTCAGGTTTATCTTCTTCAGTAACAACTATTGTTGAACCAATAAGTTGCTGAGCCTGAGAACAAAAAGAACAAGAAATTGACAGATTTACACATGATAACTTACTAATAAGACTACAAAGTAGGTCATGGCACTATTTTTAGATTAAATCCCTTCAATAACTGGTACATAATTTAAGTTGCAACTAGAATGAGGCAAGCATGGTAGAAAGAACTTATATAACCAATACCACTGGATATCCTTATAATGTAACAAGTTCTCCGAAAAATACACACTCTGAAATCTATGGCTAAGACCAGTTAACTATTCCAAGGTTGAACCAACTAGTTGGCGTTGTGCTTTAACCAAGGGCATCAACTTGCCATTTCTTTTTCTACACATCATGTAACACTATTTCATTAACTACCGTAAGGAAACCTTAAAATTAGGCCAATCCAATCCCCTGTTGGATCATTCATTCTGCACATGAATTGAAACTAGAATACAAAGATGAAGCAAACAGAAACAGCAGATTGGTCCTATTAAGCTTACCTGTTCTACCGTGTCAATTTCACTGAATTTAACAATCCAACCTTTCTGTCCTGGGTGCCCTCTTCCCTCCAATAGCTCAAGTTCTTGAATTGTTTCTCTCCCTGAAACTTCTTGTCTCAACCGTCTTCTCCCTGGCTATAAAGAATTAAATTCACAGAGAAAAAACAAAGAATTCAAGAACAGATACCCGAATCAGAAGCTTTTAGTACTATATCTATACTTCTAGGGTTGTGTTTTACCTTGGAAAATCGTAATTCCGGAAAGTCAGTATTGGGCTTAACCCGAACCTCTCCTTGAAGTCCATGAACACTGCATATGTACCCAATTTCAACAAATCCTGGTTCACCCTTACTGGTTTCAATGCTCTCTTGCGTAGCTGAAAAAAAATTGGAAAACAATAACTAGATTCACTTTTTGGTTGATACCATGACAAAATCCCATATAGCACAAATAGATCATATCAATCTAAACACGTCAAAATAAAATTATCACAAACACTAAATATGTATCCGATTTCAACATATTCTAATCCAAGTTCATTATTAGGGACGACTGCTCAAGCAGCAGAATGCTAAAGCAGATTAAACAAACAGTAAGACAACAATACAAGTTCATTGCAAAGAACTGAAAAAATCCTAAACCCATTAAAAGATAATGCAATGGCTAATGTATGGATCAACATAGTAGTGTTAAATCAAACCTATCAGAGTATACTCCCAGAAAAAAAAAAAAACACAAAACAAAACAAAAAAACAAACGAAAAGAAAAGTAGTCAATTCTGGTGATTCCTCACAAACAACTACTGCAGCTGGTTTAAAGACATCTTTGAGAAGCTGAAGAGGCATAAACTCATAACTACCTGAATATATCAAGCAAAAGACACATATCAAACCAAATATGGTAAGGAACTACACATAGCAACTAAATCAACTCTCAAAGACTTCTCAGTCAATCTAATCATGCCTAATTATTGGATGAACAGCTGAAGCCATAAAGAAAAACAAGAATGAAAGGATTCTCTCAAAAGACTTCAAACTCATTAATTGATATCATATTTCCATTATAAACCAAAACTTTACATGAATTTTATGATTTTTTTTTTTTTGATTGTGGGTGTGTGTGTGCAGAGAATTGCTAGTTCTAAGGAAAACTCAAATCAAACAAATAAGCCCATTAAAGAAAAAAAAAAAAAAAAAACAGATAGTCCACAAATAATCACACCCATTAAGAATATCCCTGAAAAAGCTGAAATACTTATTCAGCAATCATAGATGAACCCTGTTAATAGATTCACTAGTTTCAGTAATTCAAAGCTGAACAACCAAACAATAACATAACAAATCATCACATGGAGAGCTAAAACAAACCAAACTCCTCAAACTATATTCGAAATAAACAGAAACATTAGCATAATTTACGAGTGTTGTGATGGTAAGAGTATGACTGGTTTCAAACAAAATCTTCAAATTAAGAAGAAACAACACAAACCCACACCTCATAAAATGCCCAAGAAAATCCAAACCCATCACAGAAATATCATATAGTAATCAAGCAAGTGGAAATTAGTTTGTAAAATTACCAGTACTGTGCAAGGGAGTGAGGTTACTTAGGTGAATTTGAGAACAATTCAAGGGTAATCGACGAAGACATGAGGGTGCTACCACCGCATCAATGCATCGATTTCGAAAGGGTACTGTGAATCGCTGCGAGGTAGAGAGAGAAAGTGATGGACAGCGAGAGTTTCGAGAACAGATAAGAGAAGGGCTCTGCATCGTTGCGTCTCCGAGTAGCGTGTGTGAGAACCGAAAAGTGGCAAATTCCAAAAGACTAGTGATGGAGAGTTAGCATGTTGTACAAAACTTATGCATAACGTACAAGCACATTTTTAAGAATTTAGATATTTTATGGGGAAATAAAAAAAAATAAAAAAAAAATCTAGATATCAGTTGCTATGCTCGTTTGGCAAAGTTTACAATTTTTTATTTTTAATTTATAAAAATATTAGGACAAATTACAAATAAAACCCAAAGGTTTAGTGTGTTTTACAATTTAAACCCTAGATTTTTAATTTTAACAATTAAAACCTTGTAGTTCATTCCGTGTCACAGTGTAAACCCTCCGTCCATCTCCGTTTCATGACCGTTTTTATGAAATAATGAAGAAAGTCATTTTTAGTGCTAAAACCAATCTAAAATGACGCCGTTTAGAGAGAGTAAAGAAAATATTTTTCTTTTAACCCATGTCATTTTCTTATTTGTTATTATTAATTAATATAAAATGGAAATACCCATTTTACCCTCACCCCTAACTTTTACAAACCCTAACCCTAATCCCTATCCTTTACCAAGCTCTGACAGCTCCAACCATCACCCCTTTCATTTTTTTCAGCGATATCCCCATCTTTTCCCACATCTGGCGCAACCACTAAACCACTCCCTTATCTCTGGCACAACCCCTTTCACTCTCACTCCTCTCTCGCCACTACCATCGCCCATAATCTTTCTCCCTTCCCTATACCAACACCTCTACAACCCCACTGCCCTTTTTTTCCTTATCTACAACCCCACCGCTCCCTCACTCCGATTTGCAATTGCAACCTTTTTCTTCTTCTTCTACTCAGCGCCGCGACGACCCCCTGCAACTCTCTATCTCTCTCTTTCTCGCATGGGTAGGTGTTCGGCAAAGGGCAATCAAACAATAATCAGTGGTTCGACGAGATAAATCTGAACTGTAGCTCTCTGTTTAGCAAAATAGAACTGAACGCAGGTCAAAGAAAAATATTTCCGTTACTCTCTCTAAACGGCGTCTTTTTGGGTTGGTTTTGGCACTAAAAATGGCTTTCTCCGTTACTTCATGAAACGGAGATGGACAGGGGGCTTACATTGTGATACAGAATGAACTACAGAGTTTTAATTGTCAAAATTAAAAACTTGGGGTTTAAATTGCAAAACACGCTAAACCTTGGGGTTTTTTTGTAATTTGCCTAAAATATTAAATATGTTTATGTTTACTTTTAGTAAAAATGAAAAAAAAAATCTTTGATATATAAATATTTTAATTTTTTTTTTTTTTTGAAAACAAGTCAAAATGAGGGCTACGGGGTGATTATCGATGGTTGAAGATGGTGACTCAAGGTAATTGTTGGTAACGAGAGATAATGGCTGAAAGTGGTTGCCATCGCCGCTTCTTCTACTCAGCGCCGCGACGACCCCCTGCAACTCTCTATCTCTCTCTTTCTCGCATGGGTAGGTGTTCGGCAAAGGGCAATCAAACAATGATCAGTGGTTCGGCGAGATAAATCTGGACTGTAGCTCTCTGTTTAGCAAAATAGAACTGAACGCAGGTCATTCCTTCGGCACTGGTTATCCGAACGAGAAGAACGAGGCTGGACCTCGCCAAGAGAGGAGGAGGAGGAGCGGGGAAGAATGAGATGGAGTTAAGGTAGGAGATGGAGGGTTGCGCTGGAGATAAAGGAGGATTTGAAGGTGGTGCTAGAGGAAGAGGTGACCGGAGCTGCAGAGATAGATTAGGTAAAAGTGTTTAGGGCTAGGGTTTGAGAAGGTGGAGGTAATGTTGGTATTATGGTAAGGTGAAAGTGGTAGAGTAAGGGTTTAATAATAACAAATAAGAAAATGACATGTGTCAAAAGAAAAATATTTCCGTTACTCTCTCTAAACGGCGTCTTTTTGGGTTGGTTTTGGCACTAAAAATGGCTTTCTCCGTTACTTCATGAAACGGAGATGGACAGGGGGCTTACATTGTGATACGGAATGAACTATAGAGTTTTAATTGTCAAAATTAAAAACTTGGGGTTTAAATTGCAAAACACGCTAAACCTTGGGGTTTTTTTGTAATTTGCCTAAAATATTAAATATGTTTATGTTTACTTTTAGTAAAAATGAAAAAAAAAATCTTTGATATATAAATATTTTAATTTTTTTTTTTTTTTGAAAACAAGTCAAAATGAGGGCTACGGGGTGATTATCGATGGTTGAAGATGGTGACTCAAGGTAATTGTTGGTAACGAGAGATAATGGCCGAAAGTGGTTGCCACTGGTAAGAGGTAATTGACAATGGCTAGAGGTGGTAATTGGCCACAAAAAGTGTTAATTGAAAGTGATTGTCAATGGTCGAAGATGATGGTCGATCCACAGCCTAAAGTGATAGCTGGAAATGATTTTCAATAAAAAGTAGTGGCCAAAGATGGTTACAGCCAGCAAGAGGTGGTTGGTGGCAATAGAAAAGTAATTAGCAATTGAAGTATGTGGTGGCCGAAAGTGATTGACGAATGAGGTCATTGTTGGTAATGGTAGCTGATAGCAATGAGAAGAAATGGCAACGAAACTAGTTTGAAGTGGATTTGTCGTTCTTCGCCTCCATCACATATCATATCAGGGCTGGTATAGGTTAAACAAAAAAATTAATAAAAATTAAAGGTAATATAATATAGGGCACTTAGGCGATAAATCCATTTTTGGGTGTTCTTTGTTCAAAGGTCCAGACACTAAAACATTATGTCCATGAGGACAAACTCTTACAAAATGACCAAACTACCTATATATATATATATATATATGATACGGTGAAAAACCAACAAATAATCCCCCTCTTCTCTCTCTCTCTCTCTCTCTCTCTTCTTCTCTCTCAATTCATCTCTATCGACACCTTCTCAACACTCATCTCTGACACCACCACCACTACCATCACCACCACCACCATTGCCCTATAAACCCTAACCAAAATCGTGTTCTTTATCTTTCTCTCTCTCTCTCTCTTCTCGTAGGTAGCGGCGAATCTGCCATTACCACCGTGGTACGGTAGTGGATCGATGGCGATGATCCTCTGCATACTCCAGCTCCACCATAGGCAACTAGTGAAGCTCTCTAAACCCTTCGACGTCCTAGATTTCATGCTCAACAAAGGCAATGAAGTCAAGGGCCTTTTAGATACAAGCCTCAAAACCATCCCTAACCTATTAAAGATTAGATCCATGTAGCACCACCACCGTCATTTGATTCATCATCATCGTCTTCCATACCAGTCCTCTAATTTGGATCTCCAAGCTCAAGTACACTATATATGTGTGTGTGTATGTGTGTTTATAGCAACTCTCTGATTTCTTTAATGCTCTAATTTCTTCTCTGTTTTAGATTATGTTTAGACCTCGATCTCGTCGAAGGCTTTTCTTTGATCAACAGTTCTAATGCTGTGTTAATCACAGATCTAATGGTGTTTTGATCTAATGAAAGAATGCATTAGATCTCTGTTGTTGGAGTTTTGAACAATTCTATCTGTTTAATTATTATTATTATTATTTAACTTTTGATCTTTATTATTTTCATAGATCAGATATGAGATCCAAATCCATTGATCGGTTTTCATCGTGAGATCCAGATCCATCTAGATCCAGATATTATAGATCTGATGTGTTAGTTTAACTTTTATTTTTTTATTTTTTATGGTGTTGTTGTTGATGTGTTATTGTTGATGATGATTGTACAGGGATCAAATATTATTCACTTCTGTACTCCTTGCCTCTGTATTCGTCTCACTCCAAATGACATCGTTTCTCCTGCAAACACAATAGAGGTGAGTTAACCGGCGGGCGTCTCGCCGAAAAACCCCTCTGACGATCTAGTTAGCACCTTCAGAAAATATAGGAGAATAAGAGAGTTTTCTGACTTAAGATTGCTTACCTTTAAGAATGAACTCACAGGTCTTATATAGACAACTTGTCCCACTTTTCCATGTGGTGCGCATCATTCCCATTGGCTTAGGGCGAGAACATTTTGCCTTTTAATTCCTTTACAAGCGTGCACTTGTCAAAAGTAAACAACCTGACAAACAGCAATAACTTGGGCAACGCGCAGTTTGTCCTCCATGTGGTATTGGACCAAGAGAGGCACTCAACCGAGCTATCTTGAGTTATGGCCGAACCTGCACAGCTCGGCCTAACTCATACTAGTTCTATCAGTCTTAGCTAAACCTTGTTGGTCAGCCCTTGCAGGGTTTTCACAACTCGGCCAAGCACGTTTAGCTCGGTCAAGCTACTTCTATTTGTACCATTTCTAGTCAGGTCACACTCCACGCGGCCATATAGCTTAGTCTATCCTCACAACTCAGCAAGGACTCACGCATGTCTCCTCCAGTTCGGCCAATCTTTATTGGCTTTGCTCAGCCAATCATGGACTGACAGTCTTCGCTCGACCCTTTTTGTTTGGTAAAATTCCCTTTACTATGAGGTAGCTCGGCCCATTCTGTTCGGCGAAAATTCTCTCTCTCAATTGCCCCTTAATCTTATCTGTTGCAACATGATTGGGATTACTCTGGTCTTACACAACTTAGCTTCAACTCGGTTAGGATAGCTCGATCCTTTTATTAAATACACTCTGCCCATTTACTATTCATCTTCTCTTTTGATTGAATATGTTTTGCTTGGTCAAGTTTTATCCCTTGTCTGCAGGGTTCATGCTGCACTGATACATAGATCTTCATGGCTCAGTCGAGATAAATAGCTCGGTTTAGGTATCCAAATGCCATTTTTCTTCTTGCTGCTTCATTTGCCCCTGACTTGCACTTAAATTTATTGAGTGGGGGCCATTGTTGATCTCAGCTCAATTTATTCAATGTGTATTTCGGCCTTTATGCCTTTTCGGGGTATCTCAGCACATCCACATGTCGTACAACTCGGCTCTCTATCTTGGCATTGCACTCAATTGACGGAATTGATTCAGCTTTGCATTTGATGGAATGGTGGGGCCTAGAAACTTGATTTTCCAAAAGCTTAATCAATTTAAGTTCTCACTTTTGATGGAAGTGTTTGGTGGGTCATGCCTTGTTTCCTATGCATGATCAT